CTGCCGCATGTATGACACTTCATAGTATTGCCAGAAGCGCCCCTAGGGTTGCCCCTCCGCCCTTTTCCCTTACCGGAGGTCCGCCTGTGACCCCGACCTTTGCCTCCGATAAGAACTTCCTCAAAGACTATATCAGTTAAGGACGTGAGGAAAGCAGTAATACCCCTACCATGCATACGGCGTCTGCGACCCCCTTTGCCACGACCCTTTCCATATCGTTTGAAATGTCGGCGTACTGCACGTCTCACTTTTCTGACTGGTTTCTTCATAAAGCGCCTCCAACGGCGTTTTGATTTGCGATAAGCCATAAAAGCGGCTTCCGCTCTTTGTTGTTCAGAAAGGTGAGTGTCATCCGCTGGATAGTCATTACCAGCAGAGACTATGCCATTGTGCTCATCGTCAGATGAGGTATCTGTGTCAGTGCCAGATTCAAACGGTGAGGGTGGCTGAGACCCTTGAGCGGATGACTCCGCTTGGCCCCAGAGGGTTGTGCCCGAGGGCGGGCTTGCAGTGTAGGCGGCGCCTGGCGAGTAGTTCGACCAGGCGTTCGCCTCAGCTGCCTCTGCCGATGCCTGGCCGGTCTGCCCTAAGAAGGCAGTGGCCTCGTTGGGCATATCGGCTGGGTCAGCCCAGGGACTTGGCTCGCCAGGACCAGCGGGTGACCCCGCAGTCGTGGCGTAGACACCTGCATGTGAGTGGTGCCCTGTGAAGATACCCGCAATGTTGCCAGGAGAGCGCTCGGCAACATGTCCGTAGTTCCTCATCCTGGTCAGCAACCTGTCATAGTCTGCTTGTGTTCTGGGCATCTGATGATTAAAAGGCTCCAGAAGGTGTTGGGCTCGTGACGCGCCAACGCCTAACGCTCTGAAAAGTATCAGCGTTAGGATCTGAAAGTTGGGGATGACAAAGCCAACAGAGTTAGCCTCGTCACGGGCCATCTCGAATCGAGCTAACACTGAGTCGATTCGCTCGCCCCTTTCGACGCGAAAGTCGATAAGGGCAGTGCCAGAGTTGAGCTGGCGCTCATCTTCCAGATTTTCAAATTTGGTGCTCAGTAGGTACAGTATATATGTGACTGCATCCGTTGGCTGTCCATTGACAGTTACACCATAGTTGATGATCTGGGAGGGGACCTGCATGGCGATACGACGAGCAAGACCTTGAAGGCCTCGTTGTAGTGCTGCAGCTTGTTGTGGTGGCGTCATATTGCCGCTCGTTACGTTTATCCATGCATGTACTTCGCGAACGTATTCGCGAAAAGGCGTAGTACCGGCAGGGTCCCATGAAGGGCCAGTAGTACGCGTGTCGTCCATCCCCTGCCGCATGTATCCCACAGCACATCCCATTATTACCCACAGAATGCCGAAGATAGTTATCTTAATCCAGTGCATGTGCATTTCGGCTTCGGTGATTGGTTTAGGCTGTGGTTTGTCAGGCTCTGGCGTAGTAGCCGTGAGGCGCCTGACTGGCACGGGATGCAGGTGGCCCCGCTGCGGGTAGCCCCGCAGGGTGACCACGTTCTCGATCGAGTTGCCGATTGGCATCTGGTGGAAGTCGAGAGTGAAGTAGCGCAGTGAAGTAGGAGAGAGCGTCTCGAGTTCGCGGGTTGCCCCGCTAGCTCGATCGCGGACTGGCTCCGCTCCTCGCAGAGCCGGCGCAACATGGTATTCCACCGTAGTAGTAGTCCACCAAGTTGTGCCGTGGATTACAGGAATCAGAGCGAGAGCCAGCCACACGAGAGTGTAGCCAGCTCCGCTACCAAGTCGAAAACATGCTGGTAAGCTTAGGTATGTGTTACGCTTCAAGCGTTGCCATATCCCAGGCTTTGGCTCATATCGCATGAGCAAGAGAGCGAGACGAAGCATGGGATCTGGAGTAAAGGATAGAAGGGGCATCTTCAATGGAAAAGGTATTTTCCGATCTCAGATACCAGTCGTGCGCCTCGGTGAGGCACAGTCATATATTTGGCCGGGCCCGGCTTGAGCCAGGCACGGCAGCGGTACATGCTCGATTTATACCTCGCCTTTAACCTTCTCCGTTTAAAGTGACCGACCCCCCCCCCCATACTCGCACGCATACCTAAAAATACCGCCCCCCCCCAGAAATTGTTTTCCAGCGCTCTTTTCGGCCTCGAGATGGTCAAGATGGCCCCCAAGACGGATTCGAAGATTGCCAAGACGATAACAAAACGGCTCAAGATGGCCCAAGATAGTTCAAGAGCCTGGGGAGAGCCTCAAGACGTCTCAAGATAGTCCAAGAGGGCCTCAAGATGGCCCAAGAGGCCCCCAAGACGGCCTGAGAGAGCTCCAAGAGGCCTGCCTGGGGGCCAGAACTATTAATGTTCCCTGAAGTTGTTGAAGGAGTTTCAGGTTCTCGCCTATTCGGGTTTCCGACCACCCAAGACAGCCCAATAGGCGTCCAAGGGGCCTCCAAGATAGATCCATCACAGCCCAAGGGGCCCCCAAGAGGGCCCAAGTCGGCCCAAGAGGACCCAAAGATCGCCCAAGGGGCTCCCAACGAGGGCCCCAAGACGGCCTTGAAGCTCTCCAAGAGGGCAAAAGGGCGATTCAGAGAGACATTTTGGGCTGTCGTGGGCGGTCGGAAACCCCAACATGCCAGAACCTCAATATCCTTCAAATATTTCCGGAAAAAACGATGGTGTTAACCTCCTCGGGCTCTCCTTGAAGGCCTCTTGGGAACCTCTTGGGCCGTCCTGGGGGCCTCTTGATCTGTCGTGGGGCCTTCTTGGGAGCCTCATGGCCGCCAGGACGGCTTTCGAGACAGCCAAGATGACGCCAACATGGCCCAAGATGGCCCAAGACGGTTCAAGAAAAAGGCTCCCCAGGCAGCCTCAAGACAGATCAAGAAGCCACCAAGACGGCCCAAGAGGTCTCCAGGAGACCCTCCTGAGGAGCCCGAGGAGGCCAAAACCATTGATTGTCCTGAGGTTGTTGCAAGATTGTGAAGTTTCTCACCTGCGCGGGTTCCCGACCGCCCAAGACGGCGCAAGAAGCCTCCAAGAAGCCTCCAAGATAGCTCCAAGACAATCCAAGAGACTCCCAAGAGGCCCCAAATCTGCCTAAGGGGACCCAATGATCGCCCCAAGGGCCCCCAAGAGAGTCCCAAGACGGGCGTGAACCGCTCTAAGAGGGCACCAACAGCCTAGAGAGGCCCCAAAGGCGGCCTCCATTAGGCGTCAGACGGGTCAAGAGTCCCCTTAAGACGGCCCAAGAAGCCCCAAGAGGCCCCCAAGAGGCCCCCAGAAGGTCCAAAAAAACCTTCCCCTTTTCATCCTCATATTCTCCTCCTCCTCCTCCTCCGCCCTCCTCCTCCTCCTCCTCCTCCTCCTCCTCCTCCGCCTCCTCCTCCTCATCATCATCCCCTCCTCCCCTCCTCCTCCTCCTCCTCCTCCTCTCCTCCTCCTCCTCCTCCTCCTCCTCCTCCTCCTCCTCCTCCCTCCTCCCCTCCTCCTCCTCCCCCTCCTCCTCTCCTCCTCCTCTCTCTCCTCCTCCTCCTCCTCCTCCTCCTCCTCCCTCCTCTCCTCCTCCTCCTCCTCCTCCTCCTTCTCCTCCTCCTCCCTACCGCGCCGACAAAGACGAGATCGGGATCTCGACCCGCCCCAATGCAGACTCCTCGTCGGAATGGCGCTGTTCCTACGCTCAGCCTCCTTCCTGCTGCGCTGTTGCACAGGCACGGTGGGAGAGTTTGCCGCAGGCAGCTGTATGATTCGCCTTGTTATTGTTGTTATGGTCAAGACGATTATCATCATTAGTATCAGTATCAGTATTGCTATGAATCATAATATTGACCGTATCCGTAGTATGCTTCGTAATATAATAAATAGTACAAATAGAATTACGACTAGCATGTGTGATAGTCATACTGATATGGCATTAGCACCCTGATTATTCATCAGTATTAATAGAGCCATTAGCAGTTTTTGTTGCTGCTCCTGCTATGATTCCTCCGAGTAGAATTACTCGTATCAGTTTTAGAACTACTCTTACGTTGAATACGATTCACACTATTGGTATCAGTCAGACTGTGATATCAGAGAAAAACCAAATCCAAATATGTTTAGGGCTATAGGGCTATGGGGCTATAGGGCTATCGGGCTGTAGGGCTATAAAAGTATGGGGCTATGGGGCTATAGGGCTATAGAGCTATAGGGCTAAAAGGCTAGAAAGCTAGAAAGCTATAGGGCTATAGGGCTGTAGGGCTAGAAGGCTATACGGCTATAGGGTTATAGGGCTGTAGGGCTATAGGGCTATAGGGCTAGAAGGCTATAAGGCTATAGGGCCATAGGGCTTTAGGGCTATCGGGCTATAAGAACTATAGGCTACAGGGCTCTAGGGCGATAGAGCACCCCGGGCACCCGGGCACCCCCCGGCATCCCCCGGCACCTCCGGGCAACCCTGGGCACCTCCGGGCAACCCCCGGCACCTCCGGGCACCCCCGGGCACCTCCGGGCACCCCCGGGCACCTGGGCACCCGGGCACCCGGGCACCCAGGCCAGCCACCGGAGTCGGCGACGAACCTCACCTAACCATGTGAATCCGCTAGGCCTACAGAGGCAAGCTTTGATTGGGGAATTATTCATACTACCAATGAGGATAGTACTATTACGATAACTCACATTAGGATTATTACCATTACGATTGTGATGAGTATTCGTACTACTAATACATCTTTTGTTTCACGAATACGTACTGTTATTACTGTTACATACGATCATAATTCGGGGATCTTCTGACCCGGGTCAATCCAGACCTGGGTCAGCAGGAAACCAAAAACTGCAATGCAGGAAAAAGAAACTGTAACGCAGGTCTTCGCAAACCCGGGTCAGCCAATATGCGCGGCCGCCTCGCAGCCACGAGCGGCTCGCTAACCCGGGTGAGCCAGAGGGGGTCTTCGCAGGGTCCTGCAAGATCTGGTGCCCTGGCTGACCCCCGTTTGCATTGACCCCCGTCTCGAGCCCCGAATAATTATTATTCGACGTCCTCCGTGAGCGCCAGCGTGTGGTGCCAGCCGCACGCAACCCGGGCCACCTTGGGGAGCCCCAGGACGGCCCTCGCCGTCGGCCGCTCCAGGCCAGACAGGGTGGTGCGCACGGCGGCGTCGTCCAGCCAGGACCAGACCTCCGGAGGCCTCCCAACTGGGAGCAGAGCAGCCGGGGTTGGAGGCTCGCGCCGCAACGCCGATGCATCGGCGACGCATCGGCGACGTCGGGATGGAAGAAGTCGGGCTCCAGATCGCGCCGCATCACCGACGCAATCGGCGACGGGGCGTGGTGCACCGATCCCATCCGCTCCGGCTGCGTTTGGGAGGCCCGGCACCTCCCCCTCGCTCGTGACGAACAGCGTGTGCGACTCGCCGGCGGAGCAGGACACGACGCGGCCCTGCACAGGAGAGGAAGCGTCACAAGCTTACGTGTGCTCTCGGCCCCTGAGATCATGGCGTCGCCATTCTCTCGACCCCAGCGCTTTCGCCCAGTCTCGGGCCCCAGGGCCCTCACATATCGATCCGCCTCGAAAAACGGGGCAGAACTGGTACGCGGCTCTAGTCATCACTTTTCTGTATGCTGCATGCTGTTCGAGACGTCTGCCGGCCCCCGCTGACGCCGCCCTCGGCCGCCATCTGCCGGCACCCGCACCAGCCCCGGGCCCGGTCTTGCCGCCCGTCACTGGCGCCACAGCCCCGTGGCTCCGAACGTACCCGTGCTGGGGTTGGATAGCCTCGGCTTTGACACTGTTGGCTACGCACCCTTCATTCGGGACTCGTCTTCCCGCACTGGGCCCCACCGCCCCTGGCCCGCTGTCGCGGTAGCCGCCGCGTGCCCCGCGGCGGGGCCGGCCGCGCCACACGCTCGGGGAGCATTCTGACCCGAGCCGCACGCCCCGTCCCTGTTTTCCTTCGGCCGCGTCCTTTCTCCCTCCTCCTCTTGCATGGGGGCACAATTCGCTCTAACGGCATCCCCGTTTTGAGCCTCTCGTCGCCAGCGCAGTCGCCCTCTGCCTAGCCGCCGACGCAGAAATGTTGTTCGAGACGTCGGATCTCAGGGGAGCGCCGCGCGGATATCTCCTGGATCGGCGCGGGGGTCCCCCCTCCCTGGCGCGCGCAGCGCGCCAGGGGCGGCGCCAAGGGCGGCGCCAGGGGCGGCGCCAGAGGCGCCGCCAGGGGGAGGTGTCCCCGCGCCCCTCCAGGGAGATCCGCGAGGACCTCCAGAACACTCGGGGGCGGGGAGGAGGACGAGGAGGAGGAGGAGGAGGAGGAAGAGGACCAGTGTAAACCCAAGAGTCACCAACGATGTTGGAATGAACCGTCCCTCCAAGCTCCCTCTTCATAGGCCCCTACAACGGTTCATTTCCATTGAGGGAACTGCCCCGTTTGAAGACAACCGTTTGAAGATCCTCAAGCGTGCCAAAACATTGCTCTCGGGATTTCAACGCCACGTATCAACCTGACTGCTGCGTCTTGACGATCAGAAACCGTGTCACAACGCCATGTTTGGGACTTCAACACCGCGAATCAACATCTGTTACGCCCGCATAACCCTGAATCCTTCCGAAACACCCTTGCTGGTACGCTGATCATGAGAACCCGCGAATTTCTTGCAAATGTGTACAACGAATGTGCGCGCTGCTAAGGCGAGAGCCAGATGTTGAGAAGGAACCGCCCTCAATCCGTGAAACTCCTGCAAATGTTTACAAAGAATGTGCGCGGCGCTAACGCGAGAGCCACATTTTGAAACCGACCCGCCCTCAATCCGTGAAACTCTTGCAAATGTTGAAAACGAATGTGCGCGGCGCTGAGGCGAGAGCCACATTTTGGAAACCACCAGAGGAGGAGGAGGAGGAGGAGGAGGAGGAGGAGGAGGAGGAGATGGGGTTGGGAGGAAACTCTCTCGAAACAGCTCCCCGAGGAAAGAAATGTGAGCATCCAGCTGGATTCGCTCCCCAACCCCACCTTGGGCCACCCCCCCACACCCTCTGCGAGGACCCCGAGTGCAATTTTTTCTGCTGCAGCCCGGCGCAGACGAGGGGTGGCGCAGAGGGGGGCGGGCTTCCAAGCAGAGGCGGGGAAGGAGCTCCTTGGGAAGGCAGGGGGGGGGGGGGCTTCTCAGATTTGCCTCCTCATATGGGGCCCCCCATGGCTTTCGACAGGGCTCTACCCAAACGGTGTTTTTCGTTTTCGCTTGGTTTCCGTTTTCCCTCGCGTTGTCTGCGATCCGCCTGTGCTGCAAAACGAGGCCGAAACGAAAACGGCCCACGAGATCGCCAAAACACAGTTTAGGCAGGCCCCTGCTTTTGGAGAAGCCTTCTCAGAAGCCATGTCCGCCCTGTCCGCCATTCTGCTCTCCTGCATGCGCACTTTGCTGCCGCCGTGTCTCACGCCCTCCGCCTCCGCTTGCGGAGCGAGGTGCCTCCATAGGCTCCTCGACCAGACTTGACTCTCGGGGGCGTCCCCAAGAGGGGGGTGCCCAAGAGGGGGGGCGCCAGTTCATGACCGGCGGCATTTGCGCGGCCCAGGAGGGGGGGCCAGGGACGCAACGAATAAGGAGCGGCGCCATGAAGTCTGGGGAGACATCGTGACCCCCGCCATGATATCCACTCCCCCCCCCAGTCATCACCCCCCTCCTGGCCGCTCCCGAGACTTTACTTGACCTCTCAGACGCTGAGAGAGCCCCCCCCAGCCCTGAGAAGGCCCCCATGCCTTCTCAGAAGGCCCCCGCCCCGCCTTCCCGAGGGCCGCCCCCCACCCCCCCGCGCCGACCACCCCCCTCCTGCGAGGCCCGCTGTGCACCAGGGATCGTCCGTGACGCTCCAGGCCCCGGAGACGGTCTCCCCGGGAGACGGTCTCCCACGTGAGCGACGAGTAAACGGCGACCTTACGCCGCAGCTCCCGCGGGCCGCCGGCACGGCACGCTGCGCTGGTTTCGGACGAAAACTGAATCGTCCCTTGCTATTTTTGAATATTCCCCCTGTAGAGGGACAGACAGGCGCGACTTAAAGCTATCTCCATTCGCCCTCCTCTGAGCTTTCTCTTCTTCGAAACCTGCGGGCGCCCGCCCAAGCCCATGCGGCAAAATTGCAACAGCGCGAAAAATCACGACCGAAAACCTAGACCCCAAAAAAATCCGCGGTGTTTTTCGATTCGGGTCGGATCGATCTGCGAGGGCTCCTGGGCCCGAATCACGAGCGGCGAACGTATTCGTATCCGTGCCCTCGCGGTCTGGAATCCGAGGCGCGATCCCGTGGATAGGCGGTCGCACGGATACGTTCCGCGCGCGGCATCCGCGAAAAAGCGCGGCATATCCGCGGTGTCGCGGCCCAGGGGCCCTGGCCGCAATGCCGCGGATACGGAAATGTTTCTCGCCCACGACCGAGACTGGGCGAAATCGCCCGTGGCGAGATAAATGCCTCGCTGGGATCTCAGGGTCTGGGGTCTGGTGCGGGAGGGGCCGCCGTGAGACCGCAGCGAACGGCCACCACGCCTGCGCGGATCCCATCGGGGAACAAACAATGACATGAACATAACAAACTCAGAGGTCCGCGCGCGCGCGGATTTCTCGCATCAGAGCTGGCCCCCCCTGGCGCGCGGAGCGCGCCAGGCGCCGATCCGAGGAATCCGCGCGGACCTCCGAGCCTTCATTTCTATGTCACCGTCTGTTGCCAGAAATTCTCGCGCTCTTCTCTCTTTCGCTTTGGTGCCTCAGTTCGCCTCCGGTG